CCAAAATCGAACACATCTACCATCACAAACTTTGAATCTGATATGGGAAGAGAAGACATCCCAACCATTCCAAATGAATTTCCACACACCAACTCCTCCCGCAATAGAGACTAGACAAGTAGACCAGCCACCACTCTCCCACCAAAAATGACATGAAACAATCCTTCTCCAAGGGTGATGCCTTTCCCTGCCGAATCTCCATAACCATTTGCCCAAGAGAGCTTGATAAAAGGGAACCAACCTCCGAATATCTAGACCACCTGACTTCATAGGCTTGCAAACTTGCTCCCACCTGACGAGATGATACTTAAACTCCTCGTCCCTTCCGCCCCAGAGGAAATCCCTTGGGATGTTTTCAATCCTTTCAGTAATAGAGCATGGGTGGCATTTGGAACACAGATAAGAAATTAGTAGGAAGGCTCGAGAGAGTGCTCTTTATGAGAATAACTTTCCCCCCCCTTCGACAGATATTGCTTCTTCCACCCTACCAATCTCTTCACGTACCTATCGATCACAGGATCCGAACTCCCCACCCTCCTAGAGGAGCCCCCAAAGGCAAACCCAAATAAGGGTTAGGGAAAGAGCTTACCCCACACCCAAGAACTGTGGCTAAGGAGGAAGTATCCTGAACATCCCCAACCGAGACAAGCACGCTCTTAGCTATATTGACCTTCAGCCCAGAAACCGCCTGAAAACAGACTAGAATACACCTCAAATATCTAAGTTAAGACACGTAAGCATCACAAAAGACCAAGGTATCATCCACGAACTAATGAGCTAGATCTCTGCCCACCCTAAAGCCCTTGATAAGACCGAGATCCTCTGCCCTACTCGTAAGTCTGCTCAAGCCCTCCATGACGATAAGAAAAAGGAAAGACAACAAGGGATTTCCTTGTCTCAAACCCCGAGAACACCTGAAGAAACCAGCAGGAGACCCATTCACGAGAACTTTACGAACGAAAGACATGTCTCTATCCATTTCCTCCATCTACTTCCAAACCCCATTCACTGAAGCAAGTACAGCAGGAAATTCCAATTAACGTGATCATAAGCTTTTTCAATGTCAAGTTTGCATAAGGACGCCACTTCTCAACCTGGAGTCCACACATACGCCTATAATAAAAACTGAATCTAGGATTTGCCGTCCTCTGACAAAAGCATTCTGGGAATCCGAAATAATCCCATCCAGAACATCCCTCATCCTAAGAGCAAGAACCTTGGTAATGAGCTTGTAAATGCAACCCATTAAGCGAATTGGTCTAAAGACTTTAATATCAGAAGCGCCACCCTTCTTAGGGACACTACAAGTAAGTTGAAAAGGAGAGCGATCAGAATATAAAAGAGAAAAAGGAGACCGATTATTTAAAACAACAGAAGGCATGCAGTTAATGAGATAACAAGCAATAAGAACTGCATCAGCCCAAAACTGTTTTAGAACCTGCATATTTAATAACAAGGTTCGCGCAACATCCAACAAATGGCGGTGCTTTCGTTCAGCAACACCATTTTGTTGAGAGGTGTGAGCACAACTAGTCTGATGTAAGATACCACGATCAGCACAAAAGGAATCCATGATCAACTGTGTATATTCCAAAGCCTTGTCAGATCGAAGAATTTTAATGCCTTTACCAAATTGAGTAAAAATTTCATTATAAAATTTAGCAATATTACTAGGTAACTTAGATCTCTTTTTCATCAAAAATAACCATGTCATTCGGGAATAGTCATCAACAAATATAACAAAATAACGAAATCCATTCAAACTAGTGGTTCGAGAAGGACCCAAATGTCAGTATGGACTACATCAAAAGACTCAGTTTGACGACTATGACTACTATTAGGGAAAGAACTACGGTAATGCTTGCTTAATTGGCCAGCTTCGCACTCTAAGGCAGACACATGACTTAATGTAGGAATAGCTAATCGTAATTTTGCCAATAACAGGTGTCCCAAACGAAAATGCCATTGAAGAGGCAAGACTGTAGCACTCAAAGCTAATGATAAGGTAAAAGGAGGTTCACCAGGATCCAAATAATATAATCCATCCTTCTCATACCCCGAACTAATCATCTTCTTCGTCTTGAGGTCCTGTAAAACACAAGAGTCGAGAGAAAAGGTTATTAAATAGTGCAATGCCTTAGTCAGCTGACTTACAGAAAGCATATTAAAAAGGAAAATTAGGAACATAAAGGTTGGGAGATAATGACAATGACTTGGTAGGGTGAAGGATACCCTCCCACAAACAGGACGAGAAGAACCATCAGCTAAAACTATATGATGTTTAATATATTTGAGATCATAAAAAGAGAGATGATATACCAGACATATAAGAACTAGCTCCAGAGTCAATGACCCAGGACGGAGAAGATTGGGCCACACATGCAATATTACCTAAGTTGGCCAAGGTAGAAGTCGATGTATGTGGGAGAGTAGATTGTAGTGTTTGGAGGAGCTCGCTAAGCTGAGTAGTGAGTCTATCACAAGGACCAAAATCGGAAGTCACGTGTCCAGATTTAGTATGAGGCAACAGTGGTTGTGCAGTACCATCCATAACTCGATGTGCTTGTTGTGGTTTGCCACATTTCACCCTTTATACCAACAATAAGGCTCAGTGTGATTTGTACCACCACAACGATCACACTTTCTGGGACCACATCCATTAGAACAGCCACCACCACTGGAACTACCATGAAAACCACGACCACCACGGTTACTACGAGAACCACCAAAACCTCCACTATTAGAGACTAATGCAGAAGACTTTATGGGAGGTACAGTGGAGCTTTGCCCCAAAGATGACCGTAATAGACGAGAATAAGCATTAGCAGCTGTAGGTAACTTCTCGCTAGTGAGAATCTGATCTTTGAAGCCATGAAGATCTGTATCTAAACCAGATAGCAATGAAGCAATCATAAATTCCTCCTTGGTTATGCCTCTTCTGCTGCTCTAAATCAGTACCAAATGGTCGATGTTTAGTAACTAATCCCACAAATTTTTCAAGGTACTATAATATTCAGACAATGGTTTCCCGGACTATTAGTAGGAAAAATTTTCTCAGACAACTCATAAACTCGAGAAACATTACTTTGGTGTGAAAATGACTCTGCAATAGAGTCCCAAATCTTCTTAGAAGAATTACATAATGCAACTGTACTAGCAATTTCGGGTTCCATACTGTGCCAAAGCCATCCCATAACAACACTATCCTTACACGCCCAATCTTCAAGTTGCTTCTCATCAGAGGGAGGATTTTTAGTCCAGTATTTCAATTTCCTTCGCCCATGTAGAAAAACTTGAACCGCTTGAGCCCAAGAATGGGCAATATTTAAACAAAATAAACCAGCAGCTGAACAGTGTATAGGTCCAGAATCAACACAAAAAGCAAGCACACGCAAACAGTAACAATCAAACCAAAACAGTAACAACAGCCTGCAGCCTAAGAACCCAAACAGGGTTTTACAAACAGATTTTACCACCAAACTCACAAAAACAGTACCAACAGCCTGTAAACAACCTCAGCCGAACCTCCTTTTGGCCAAAAAACTCAACCTAAATGCAATGAATCAACACACAACCAGCAAGCAATCTCCTCTAAGGCACAAGCACACCCTTTAGAAGGGATTTCAACAAAATAAACAACCAAAAATGGCTCCAATATCCAGATCAAAATCCATAAGGCCGGAATTTAAAAAATGTTTCAAAAATGGAAAACAACCCTCAAAAAGCATCAAAAGTCAACAAGAATACTATTATAATTACCAGAAAGTTCAGATGATCCAGTTTCTGTAATTCGCGACCTGTATATGACGTCAGAATGACATCAGCGAACTGACGCTGACGTCAACCACTTCTGGTGTTGGATAACTGAATGTCAATGAGTTCTAGACTTGATTTGGCTCTAATACCAAGTTAAAGTTGAAGAAGTTAGGGTTTGTAGAAGTAGAGAAGAAGAAAGAAGAAGATGAGAGAAAGAGAAAGGAGTATTCTGTGAAAGGTGAGACACACGGATTAGGGTTTTCCCCACACCTCTCACCTACTATACATTAAGTAGACATAAAGACAATAGTACCCTTGATAAATAAAAGAAATAACAACCACGCTCTCTAACAGATTGCCACAATTTTCTATCATGGCTTTAATGATTCCTGCAATCAAATGCCATGTAAAAAATAATTCAAAATCTATGGGACATGCATACTACAACTTAAAAGCATGTGATGCTGCACTCATTTTTGTTTTTCCTCTTTTTCATTTTCTGGGAGTTCCTCTTATCTTTGGGCTCCCAGTATAATTTCTTAGAGATCTGTGTTTGTGGCAGCCTTTCTGTGTTACCAACTTCGGTGTTTTTATATTATAGGAACTTCTTACCATTCCAATGCTCCCAACAAGGGATCACAATTTTCTGAAGCCAAATCCAGGCCTATACTTTCAAAGCACTAAATCCTACCTGAGAAAGAATAATACTGGGCAAAGGCAAGAAAAAATTTCATTCCACAATTTTCTCCTCTTCACATATCCTTGACTCCTCTAATAATTTGCTGCGGCCATGTTTCAGCAACTTTCTAGATAACAGAGAATTTATCAAAAAATTGACTTTAGCTGAAGATAGGACCTCCATAACAATGGATGATAATGATGATGCAAATGTCATGCACATAAATAAACAATGTGTACAGTCCCTTGGATAATTATTGACTAATAATGAAATGCACATAACAAATAGATTTTTTGCATGTATGTGTACATGATGTTATTATGAGTTTCATGTAGTATATTTTCTGTATCAAGTAATGTACATCAAAATGTCACACAGGAAAGATCTTCTATTTATACGTTAACAACCCCATTTCTAGTATCTCTATATCAGCATCAACAGAAGTCCAAATGTTGAATACAATATTTTTAAAATGCAAATAGAAGATTATAAAGCATATCTATATTTGATATTATTTTAAGATTTGATAACTCTGAGATGGTGTCAATTTTAAGATGCAACCTACCTTGAAGCAACGACGGACTAGGAACTGAGTTGTCAATCCCGTAAGCAAGACAGATGCTGCTACAATAGGATCAATAGAGGAAGGAATTGACACCACTTTATCTGCAGGAAGGATCTGCTCTTCAGTATATGAGCCCATTGGATTACCAGCGTAGCCAACAAGATCTCCCACATTCCTACCAGTTAGTCCAGGGCCCACAGCAGTCACCACACCAACTGCCTCCATACCTGCAAATGAAGATCTAGAGTAACTCAATTCTCAACCAACCCAAATCTGTAATAACCCCTTGTACGTTACAATTCAATGGGGCAAGTGAGTTTTTCTGGTTTATTGCTAATGCAACTATGAGTTTGAAATAAACATACCAACAATCATGACTCCTGCCGTTGGCAGGAAACTCACTGTGCAACAAATTCTCTCTCTACATAGGGTTCTTGTGGTGTACATTCTCTTTACATAAGGATTTGTGTTTTTTGTCTAAGAAAGAAAAAAAGGTTCATTTTATTTGTTGTGGTGAGAAGAGGAGGGAGGGGGAGATATGAGAGGCTATATGAGGCTCTTTTGGTGATGGTGCTTGGGTGTACAGTTGTGGTTCTCCCATTGATGAACTTGATTTCTCCCCTCTGCTACCTTTTTTTCTCTAAAAATAGCACCTTCATGGCAACATGGAATCATATCTGGATAATAGTTACGGTCTTCAGAGCAGTAGCGTCTCATAAAAATATTATCATTACCTCTTCAAGATCCCAATCCAACTACTGTGGTGATTTCTTTCTAAAATGTGATTTTTGGCCACTGGTTTTGTTCGGGTTTGGCAAGAGAAAGTGTGACAGCGGGGAAAAGGGAGTTTGTGGCATTTGTTTAGCAACTGGAGTTGTCGAAAAGGAGAGTGGAGAGAACATTAAGAGATGGAGAGAGAGGAGGGACAGAAGAGAGTGAAAGAGAGATGTATACATATACATACTATAGATCACTAGTGGACTTGTATATGTATATTTTTTTTGAAAAGTAATAATTGAAATAAAAAGGCGTTCAAGAGGGGAACGCATCCCTTATACAAAAGTGGAACTAGGGATTAAGATCCCAAAGAAGCCAAAAAAAATAATTAAATCTTCGGAAGAAAAACAGGACTTCCTCTTCACATAACTGAAAAGAGAGCGAATGATGTGAAGTTTTAGAATCGCCGTGGACGATTCTTTCCCTTCGAACATTCTACTATTCCTCTCCTTCCAAATGCACCACCCAACACAATGTGGTACAACTCTCCAATAATCGCGAACAGTGCTACTCACTCGGCATCCTCTCCATATACGAATCAAATCCAGACTTGTATATGTATATTAATATAATATATATTGATATGTGTTGTAAATAATGAAATAAAAGTGAAAAGAGAAATGAAACAAGAAGAACACATATATTACGTGGTTCAGTTACTAGGGCCTACATTAACGGCACAAAAAGCCCAAAGGGCTAAATCACTTTTATAATGCTCCCTCAACTCATTCACAGTACAATACTAGAGGCTCCTTTTTAAAGGAGAATAAATGATGAGAATGGAAAGAGATGTAAAATAGGAAACAAGGAGGATTTTTCTCCACGGATTCATCTAGTAACAATAAATCTTTAATAATAGAAAACAACATAAATTACTAGAAGATTTTCCACCACTGATTCCTCCATCAAATCTTCAATACTCCCCCTCAAGTTGGATCATGAATGCTCAACTTGCCATTGAGATGACGAGTGGCAACAAGTGTGAATGATGAAAAGAGAATGCGAAGAGCAATGCTACCGAACACATCGGCAGTCCAAACATTTCAACAAATAACTGCCGGAGACACAGCAAAGGCGAAGACAATGCTACCGAATACACTGGCAGCCGAAACAAATCAATAAAAATGCTGGAGACACGGCAAAGGCGAAAACAATTCTACCGAACACACCTGCAACCCAAACAAGTCAATAAAAAATTGCCGGAGACACGGCAAAGGCGAAGAACAATACTACCGAACACAATGGCAGCCCGAACAAGTCACAAATAGCACCGAGAAACCCTTAGCAACATTTCAGATGCTAAGGGAACAGCCTAAAATAGAGGTCCGAACCTAGGAAGAGAAATTAGGCTATAATACCATGTTGTAAATAATAAAATAGAAGTGAAGAGAGAAATGAAACAAGAACACATATATTACGTGGTTCAGCCGTTAGGGCCTACGTCTACGGCACAAAGAGCCCAAAGGGCTACATCAATATGTGTATACACTACATGTTATACACAGATCAATAATTGGTGTGTGTGGGTGGGTGGGGTGGGGTGGGGTGGGGTTAACAGAGACTATGAGGAGTTTAAGAGAGGTTGTAGCATTGCTGATGCCAATCAAACAGTCAACCCACAATAGTAAAGAAAATCGAAATGAATGAGTAAATGGACCATAGATTTCTTCTAAGAATCAATAGACACACTTCAAATTATGACAATAAAAAGATGTCTCCAATTGACCAGGTCCACCATTAAGTTTCTATTTAAAGATGATATCTGCACAAAGAGAGGGACTAATGGTATACTAAGAATTACTTATCAAAAAAATGGTATAGTAAGAATTGGAAGGAAGATGATTGCTGGAATGGCGATGAAGAGAAAGGAATGGTTGTGAGGGGCAGAGGAAGGATAGGTTGAGGGATGTGTGGTGGAAGAAACTGGGGGTGGCTAGGGTGGAGAGTAATATGGGAGAGGAGATGGGCGGAGGCTAATGGCAGCATTTGGTCGGTTTATGAGTTTTCATTGGCTTAGAGAGAATGAAGAAGTAGAGAAAGAAAATAGAAAAACATAAAATAGGTACAATGGCTTTTTTATCATATTTTGATTTATTTATTATTTTTAATAGAAAAAAGTCTTAAAAGGTATTAAGGGAAAAAAGTCATTTCCATCATACGAGTCCCTCTGTTTATCCAACAAATTCTAACAGGATAATTCAATATACAGGCAAGTAACATTTATCCTTGTGTAATTAGGCCAAACCACAAAGGTCAATGTAATTTACCCTTTATTCTATAAAATATCTAATTAGTGATTATATACATATTTGTGATGTTGTGGCCCGAATTTTGTTCCAGCCTGGGTCGCACTGCAACCTAGAAAATAGGTTTTGTGTGGGCCCAAACCCACCAAGCCACGGGGTCCCCCCAACCCAAAAAAAAAAATGACCCATTTTTTTAGCTTGCGGGTCTTGGACCTTGTTTAGGACTCTCTTGTAGCCAGGTATATATGGGCGTTTAAGATTTGAAGTGGGTAACGAGAAAACACTGAAAATCACAGAAGAGAGAAAGAGAGAGCGCTAGGGTTTGGGGACTGAAACTTGAAATCTCTTGATTTTGGCACACCGTGGACGTAGGCTTGGTCTTAAACCAAACTATGTAAATCTTTGTCTTTTTTGCACGTGCCGTGTTTACTTTTTTGACATGATTCTTATTTTGTTCTTGGTTCCTTGTGTTTGGTGTAACAATATTAAATATAAATTTAACTAGTAAACTTTAAAATATGCAAAGTTTAAATACTATAAAAATAATAAAGTTTACTCTATAAATGTATAACTAGATTTTTTTTATTTTTTTTGGTAAGTAATAATCGATTAAAAAAAGCGTTCAAAAGGAGAACGCATCCCTTATACAAAAGCGGAACCGGGATCTAAGGACCCAAAGAGTCCAATAGATTAACTAAGTCATCGGAAGAGGAGCAAGAACTCCTCTTCACGTAACTAAAGATAGAGCGAATAATATGAAGTTTCGGCGTCACCATGGACGACTCCTTCCTTACAAACATTCTGCTATTCATCTCCTTCCAAATGCACCACCAAACGCAATGTGGAACTATCCTCTAATAGTCGCATAAGCTGCTTCTCATGCGGCATCCCCTCCACGCGCTAATCAAACCCTTAGAAGATCGAGGCATTAGCCAAAGCAAACCAAATAAGCCAAATACAAGGTTCCAACAGTCATACGCCACGGGGCAATGCAGGAGGATATGATCCACAAACTCACCATCTCATTTGCAAAGGCAGCACCAATTAACAATATTGTTGCCTCTCTTTTCAAGTTGTCAAGCATCAAAATCTTGCCCCATACAGCAGTCCATACAAAGAATGCCACTCTAAGTGGAGCTTTAGAGCACCATATGGTCTTCCATGAAAAATTAAGGCCAACGAAGTTGGAGAGGCACAGAAACAAGGACCGGACATCAAATCTACCATGGGTAGAGGGGACTCACAGAAGATCATCAATACCTCTGCCAACTGCCTCCTGCTGATACAACATATCCAGAAGAACGCATACCTCGTCCATCTCCTAATCCTGAAAAGAACGCCTAAAACACACGTCCCACGTAATCCCACTGCTATCAACCAGATAACAGTCAGCTACGTAGGCATGTCTATCAGCGGCAATACTATACAATCTGGGAAAGGTGCAAAATAACGGCTGGTCACCACACCATAAATCCTCCCAAAATCCAACACATCTACCATCACGAACATTGAATTTAATATAGGAAGAGAAGACATCCCAACCCTTCCGAATGAATTTCCACATATCAACTCTTCCCGCAATAAAGACTGGACGAGTAGACCAGCCGCCACTCTCCTCCCCTAAACGACATGAAACAATCCTTCTCAAGGGCGATGCCTTTCCCTACTAAATCTCCATAACCATTTGCCCAAGAGAGCTTGATTAATGGGAACCAACCTTCAAATACCTAGACCACCCGACTTCATGGGCTTGCAAACTTGCTCCCACCTAACAAGATCATACTTAAACTCCTTGCCCCTTCCACCCCAGAGGAAATCCCTTTGGATCTTTTAAATCCTTTCGACAACAGAGCATGCGATTTGGAACACAGATAAGAAATAGGTAGGAAGGCTCGAGAGAGTGCTCTTTATGAGACCAACTTCCCCCCCCCCCCCCCCCCCCCCCCCCAATCAATAGATATTGCTTCTTCCACCCTGCCAATCTCTTCACATACCTATCAATCCCAACTCCCCACCCTCCTAGAGGAGACCCCCAAAGGCAAACCTAAATAAAGGATAGGGATAGGGAGGAAATATCCTGAACATCCCCAACCAGGACCAGCACGCTCTTGGCTACATTAACCTTCAGCCCAGAAACCACCTAAAAAAAGACCAGAATGCACCTCAAATATCTAAGTTGAGACACGTCAACATCACAAAAGACC